AAATTTCACTTTACCGAAATATTTTGAGAAAACTCGATCGCCCTGATACAATTCAACGCCCTGTCTCATCAACTCATCAACGAACTCTTGAAGGAACTCTATTTGGGGGGAGTACATGAAATAGTATACCAGCAATATTCTCTAAGATCTTTCCCCCTACCACCGAACATAAACAGAGACTAGAAGGTTCACTCTACGAGGGTCACTTGGAATGCCATGCTCATATTGCAGTGAGAGATTTCGCTACGGGGTTCAATGTATTATGCATATAATATAATTCTGAATATTCAACAGAAAGTAAGTTGTTTTCTGTTGAATATTCAGAATTATATTGTATGGATATCTTTATAGGATGAAACTGTCGATTTCTTTATATGAAGGAGATTGCTAATTCTCTACTTCAGAAGATTTTGTTTTCAAATTCTTATCGTGTGTGTTCAATAGATGTAATTCAATATTCGTCGTGTCATGTAGACGGAAAAGTAGTTGTTTTTTGTTGAATGAACAGAAAAAGAATTGATTCTCAATGTATTTCTTTATATATATATCCATTTTTTTGTGTTCCTTAAAATATCTGAGAATGTTCCTTTTCAATTCATGATATAGTTGTTATATTTCCATTATTTACAACTTATAAGGAAGTACAAAAACAATATGCAATGTCAATAACTATTATTATTAACTATTAATACGAAAGTGCCTGTCTCGATATTTCCCAGGAGAGCGACTCTAAGGAAACGGTGTTGTTTATTTTGGCTGTATCATTGGCATTCATGGTGTATCATTTTATTTCGATACTGATTCTCACAATGAGGTAGATAAGTCAATGCAGCATACTATAAATATATACAATCAAGAAAAAGTCAAAATGCTTATTATTATTTACTTTCACGTGTTTTGTTTTAATTAGATATTCAATAATTCAGGCCGTTTCCTGAAAGCAATAACAGTACCTGCTAACAAAATGATTAGGTGTTTTTCAAGAAGAGTAGAACTTGATTTTTTAAATAATTGCACCTTTAAAAATTCTACGCCAATGGCAGAAAAGGGGTTTGAGTATGAAATTTGGATTGGGTACTCATTTACTACAAAAAAGTACCCTTGATAACACTTGATTTACTCTCATGGTTCTGACAAAATTTGTATTTTAATAATTATTGTTTATGTTCTAAAATTACTAAAATGCAAATTTTGTCAAAACCATGAGAGCAATCCAGTCTTATCACCAGTACCTTTTTTAAAGTAAATTAATTGCGCAATCTAAATTTCATACTCAAACTCCTTTTCTTCCATTGGCGTAGAATTTTTAGAGGTGCAATTATTTAAAAAATCAAGTTCTACGCCTATGTATTATTATCGGACAAAATTTTGACACAATTTTTTTGCCACATAAAACTCTATCGATGTACCAAATTTCAGCAAAATCGCCTATGCCGTTTTAAATTTATATGGGAAAAACGATTTAAAAATTGTAACTTCAAGGCCCTATGGAGCCCAAACGATGCAACTTTGTACTGAGGTAATTTTACTTAAATCAACTTATTTTGGTCTAAGGAATATGTGGTATGTTTTTGTAAAGACCTTTTACAGACACCCTGTATAAAAGATCCCTTTAGGTAGCCGTAAAAATATTGTTCTAAACCACCTTACAATGCCAACTTTTGGATATTCAATGAATCAACAATTATTGTATTGTATTGTATTTAGTAACCATTCTCTAACCGGCAACCATATGAGGTGGGGTCAAAGGTGAATGGAACTGTAAACTGTATCTATGTATGTTCTAGCTTCTAGGTATCATTTGAGGTTTTCTAATTTCACATGAAGAAAGCATTGTTTCTCTACCATGCTGAATTTGGTGAAAATGACTTTTTCACAACTGGCTTTAATATCATTAAGGTTTATAGATATGACATCAGCATCAGCTCTAGCTATTTTGCTATTTACCATGTTTGATTGTAATCATCAATGGGTAAACATGTAGAAGAAGTGTTTACAGGTGTAACTTCATTATTCTATTCTATTATAGTCCAAAATGTCAAATGGTTTTGACCTGAAGAATAGGCAAACACACAACTGTTCAACTCAATGGTGTGATGGCAATAAATGAATGATTAAATTTAGAAACTAATTTAAATGAATACCTATTCACAAAAATTAATGACCAACCATTCTACTATATCCCAAACAATAGTAAAAAATGAGGTAAAAAAGTTACTTTCATATTCATATATTATGTAGATTCTTGATTCATATAGGTACTCATTGAAATGAAAATCCCTTACGTTTTTCGAAAATTCTACAATACCATCAATGATCCAAAAGGATCTGATGATTCTGATGAATTGTTAAGTATCAAGATCAATCAAGATGAATCATACCTTGTCAATAATAAATATAATATGACGTTCACTTACCCTCAATTCGATAAATTTTTTTCTTAATATCTGCAATGGTTTCCACTGAAGAGACATTTACATCAAACACTGTACCCATAAGACTTTTGATCTGAATTCTCATATTTGGTTCTTGGAAACCATCACACTGGTCTTCTTCAGACATTTTATTTCCTAATGAACTGACAACTTTGACAAGTGACGATTGACGAAGTGACGTAAGGGACAATCTGACAAAGTCACCAAAGGTGGTTTTCCATCTAGTTCCTAATACCCCCTAATACCGCTTAAATTACCGCTAGTACCGCTACCAGAAACTAGGGTCCCTTGATGGAAATTGACATTAAAGTCATCTTAACAGGGTACGGACAGATCATAGCTGCATTCTTTTTTAATGATCTAGAGACTTTAGTTTTGTCTACTGGCATCCCTGACATTGCTGTCACGTCACTTCCATGGGCGCTACAGAAAATCATTCGAAATTTTAATAATAGGTATGTACAGGGTATTTAATTGTTGAGGAAGATCATGTGGCGAACAAGTTTTGTGATAAAGATCCGATTCTATTCGTAATTGATATCTGGCGGTTTTCGGGCTATAAGAGATAATGATTGTTCCGTCAAAATTGAAAAATCCAAGATAACGGATTCATTAGTTTATATAATTACTACTTTATCACAAATAGAAAATATGTAGGATGCAAGAGTGAAAATAACGTGCCTATAAGTTATACTGCGTATACCTACTTGTTTGTTACTTTCATCAATAAATTATTTGAAAATTACTTCTAATTTAAGGAAGACGGAAGAATCATATGTATAACATGGGGGTGAAGTATATTCTATTCTTTATTTCCCTGTACATTTTACGAATAACTGTTTATCAGCCTACTTATCGTCCTAGACGAGGTTTTATACATAGTTGATATTAGTCACTCCATAAATTCTTCGAGTTGTATTTCCGAAAATATATTTAGCACACATTACATGAGTACAGTAGTTTAGATATTCACATCGAGGTTTTCACCATTTCCCAATCATAAGGCTCAGCTCATTCAGCTCATAGATAAACTACTGCTCAGTTTGAAATCAGAATTCATTCAGTCAATTGTACACAGGCTAAGAACAGTCTCTTTTGGTGGAATATATTAAGCTTTCAGTAAAATTCATATGTTCCCTTAGCTACCTCTCAAAAATTATGCTGGAGTATAGTAAACTCTATAAAGGGCGCCGTACATTATGCTATTTACCAGCAAGTTCGAGCAATGCAATTTTGAATCGAACAATGCGCATGCTATGATATTTTATGGCAAGTTTATTCATGCTAGTTTCGTAATAGAACCAGTCCTATTTTTCCTGCGATTTCAAGGCAAGTTATTTAGTAAAATTTTTAGTGATATTCATCGTAGCATCTTGATAAAATACTAATTTTCTCCATAACGTGGCCTGAAACACCAAATAACCTCAAAAAGTACATTGAAGGCTCAAAAAACCTGGAAATAGTGAATATGAACAAGAAAATATGACAGAAATTGCGAGAAAATTGCATTGCGTCAAACTTGCCGAGAAATAGCATAATGTACGGCGCCCTCATAACTATAGAGGATTGTTCATCTATATTTTGGTATAGTTGAATCAGGAATTCCATATGGAAATTACGTATGATACGCCAGTGACCTCAATATAACCTAAAAAACAACAAATGCCAAAAATCTAGTGTTTATCCCCAGAAATGAATAAAGATGGAAGTATATAACTGTTTCACAAACACTTTAGAGTGAGAGGAGACGAGGATCTGTCCGTACCCTGTAGCGTTGATTGATATGTAAGCGTAATATATCAATCAACGCCTGTAGAGATGACAAATACGTCAGTTTACATCAAGGGACCCTACCAGAAACAATAGTCACTTGATGGTATCAGATGGTATCTAGATGGTATCCAGAAACATAGATCTAGAAACGAGCGTCTCGAAATCGGAATGCCATGGATGTCGGCTAGGTGTCGGCTCGTTACCATCGAGATGGTAACGGTCGGCATCATTCTTGACTCTAGAGTGACTTTATAAATATTTTGAATGTTTCTAATGAGTATAGCTCATTCGACTATTGCTATCTACAAATCTAGAGCAAGAATTTAAAGAGGTGGCCTTATTTTTTCTAAAATTTAGTTTTACTTCTTATAAAATTGCCATATTCATTATATATCTGTGATCATATACAGGGTGTTTGGTTCACCGCAATATCTCTAAAAAGATTTGATAAGGTATTGAAATTATTTTGAAGATTCACAAGAGGTGATTCTTAATTTATACCCTAGGGTACGTGATTCATTAGGAATGGGTTTATTTCATCAATATGACATAAACGTGAACAGGTTTTCTCGTAGTTTTTATGTCATCGCAGCGTCAAATGATGACCTTTCCTAACGCGAAAATTATTACTCATTATCGAATTATTATTCACGTGTCAGAAAAATATTCTCGAATCTACCGCCATTTCATATTATCTGACAGAATGAAGCCGACACCAGCATTCCGATTTTGAGACGCTCGTTTCTGGTAGCGGTATTAGGAGGTAGATGGAAAAGCACCTTTGGTCATTGCAAGCCAATAGCGGGTAAATATCTAGACTGTCTGACGGGTTCAGACCATAGACAGTCTACAGTCTAGATATTTAGCCGTCGTTGCGAAAAACACATAAAAGTTTCGAGATTCTGATAATGATTCTGATAATTCGATAACAGAGAAAATAGTATCAAAGCTCAAAGAGCAGCATTAATATAAACATTATTTTTGAATCGTCGTGTTGGATATTGGATACTGCATTGTTCTTTGATCTCCGGCTACAGTGTACATTATTGCAGTGAATTCATTTTTCTTTCAAAAAATGTCTTCCTTCATGGTTTTAAAGAGGAGTTTCTCTGCCAGTGCTGTGAGAAATACTATTAAAAATGTTACAGTAATTGGAGGTGGACTTATGGGTTCAGGCATAGCTCAGGTTAGAGAAGGAATTTTAACATCTATAAACCAATATTTCTCCAGATATTCACCAAATGAATCTGGATCTTGAATTCTTGAAATGAATGGATCACCAATTATGGACATTTTTCAAAATTAAAAAAAGGATATTATTTTCAGGTAGCAGCTCAAACTGGCCACAATGTTACCTTAGTTGAAATGAATGCAGATCTACTGAAAAAAGCTGAGGACAGCATCATCATAAATGTTGGAAGAGTAGCCAAGAAATTGTACAAAGATGACCCAGATGGTGCCAAAAAGTTCATAGAAAATACAAGGTCACGGATTCAAGGCTCCACAAGTCCCACTGAAGCTGTAAAAGACAGTGATCTAGTGATTGAGGCTATTGTAGAAAAATTAGGAAGCAAGCATGCTCTGTTCAAAAGCATAGACAATGCTGCCCCTTCCAAAACAATTTTTGCTTCAAATACTAGCTCCTTGTCCATTGGTCAAATAGCTTCAGTAACAAGCAGGAAAGATAAATTCACTGGTTTACACTTTTTCAATCCTGTGCCTGTCATGAAACTGTTGGAAGTTGTGAGGACTCCTGACACTTCAGATGAAACATATCAATCAGCCATGGCATGGGGAAAAGCCATTGGTAAAACATGCATCACATGCAAAGATACACCTGGATTTGTGGTCAATAGGTTACTTGTGCCTTACATTGCAGAATCTGTTAGAATGCTGGAAAGAGGTTTGTATACTAACAAATAGCTGTCTCAATGAGAGTGTGATAATTAATTTTTCAACTCATTACTATTTTTCTACAACTAACAATTCTAGGTACCTATTCCTCTATATTCAGAATCATTATCTGATAGAGAATGCAAATCCTCAACTTCAGAAGATTTTATTTTCAAATTCTTATTGTGTGTGTTCAATTGACATAATTCAATGTTCCTTCTGGCATGGTATAGCCAGAAAAGTATTTGGTTTATGTTGAATATACCAAGAAAGAATTAATATTTTCATCAGGTAGAGAATGCTAATAGGCTAGTGAACTATTTTTTTTCAAATTCTGAAATAGAATCATCACTGGAATACTTTTCAATTTCATATTTTTTAAGAATTTCTCAGTGCTAAACTCATCAATAAATCCACAATAAGTTTCAATGGGCTAGAAATTTACTGCCAGTAAGAACTGATGCCATGAATTAACATGAATTCATAAGTAGGGGCAGACCATAGCACAGTTGCCATGTGTTGAAATACTATTGGGAACTTCAGAAATATTAGTTATTCAATAATTCATAAATTCTCATTTGAGTATTGGTAATATTCTTAATTAGCAATAAAAATTCAATTGTCTCAAAATGTTCCCTTATGATTTGAGGCTTATTGCTTATGATAAATGTGTGTAAAAAATAATTATATTAATTCACACTATGACCATGACAACACGGCGCACGTGTTGTGGGCGTGGTCTTGTCAGTTCTCAAAAGTTGTTGTTCAATGGTTCTAAGCATTCAGCACAATGTTGCCAAGTCTCCAACATTCAAATGATATTTTGTTATGGATAATAAGAAATATTTTGACATGCTGGTTGCTTGAAAAAGTCAAGAATGAACTATATAATATCATGAGTTCCTCCTATTATGATTTATTCAACAACAGGACTTCAACATGTCTTTGATATTTTGTTCATAATTGGTGACTTGACAACCTTGCTTCATGAGTGGAAATGCAAGATTATCTGACCAATAACAAAACAGCATTGAAACTGATGTCATTTATTCCAAGTATTGGCAAATGGCAGCCATGAAGGTTTATTTGAAATGAGATCAGAAAATCAACAATCTTGAACAAAGCATTGACTCATTATTTACATAAGGAAAGCGTGAGATGTGTTGCAAAAATTAATTCAGGTTCCTAATAATACAGTGGAGTAATTGATTGATCTATCCCCTGGCCCATTCTCAATAACGTATTTCTTAATTTCTTTATATGTATCCATATTCTTTTTCATGTTCATGATATATCTGACTATCTGAGAATATCACTTTCTAATACAGATTCATCCACAATACCCTTTTCAATGAAGTTACAAAATGTTGGATCAGGTTAAAGGTTAGTCAGTTATTGATATTCTTTTTTGGAACCACCTCCTTTGCTAAATCTGTGCATTTTTTGCATCTTGAAAGGAGAAGAAGAAAATTCTAACCTCGAATGCACTGTCAAATTGCTTCTCACTTGTGGATTGTGGAACTTGTTTTTTTTTTTTTTCAGTTAACATGCATCATGCATTCTATGAAAGAGTACCACTTTTTATTATTGTTGGGGCCAATAGTAATTTGCTATTTCAACAATGACTTCAAACTTCAACAAAAAGTACATCTGTAGATTAGTTAAAAATTCGAATGATTAATAGGGATGCCATTTCTAAAATTTCAAAACCAGGACAAGGCTACTTGAGAATCCGGACAGCCGGAATTTTAAAAACTTGAATCATTTGTACCTGATTTCAAATAGTTATTCATCATGCAAGGAAAAAAAGTAGTAGATTTTAGCTCCAGGTTGTGTTGTCTCCAGACGCGTAGGAGAGGGAGACAAAAGACCGTGAGCTAAAATCTAATATTTTCCGTGTATAATACACCATTTTTTTCTGAAAATCAGAAAATTATCGACGTGAAATTTGAAGTTTGTAACGGGAATGACACCTGCGTTGCAGGCATCTTTATGTGGAGGAAACTCAAAATGGCGGATCCAATATGGAGGACGAGTTTTTTGTTTGTAATTGAATAATCTATTCCAAATTGGTCACTGGGGTTTTCGGAGTCGGAGATTATGATTCTTTCGTAAAAAAATTAAAATTCAAGATGGCGAATCCAATATGGCGGACGAGTTTTGTAATTATTATTATCCGATTTCATTCAAAATTAGTATCTGCGGGGTTTTGGGGTCGATGATTATGGTTCTTTCGTCAAAATTTGGAAATTGAAGATGACGTGTCCAATATAGCGGACGACTTTTTGTAATTATGATCCGATTCTGTTCAAAATTCGTATCTAGAGGTTTTCGGGTTCGAAGATTATGATTTTCTCGTCATATTATAGGAATTCAAGATTTCAGATTCAATATGACCAACGAGTTTATTAATTATTATCTGATTCTTTGATTCTATTTGAAATTGGTATCTGGGGGTTATTGGGGTCGGAGATTATGATTCCTTCGTCAAAATTGAAAAATTCGAGATGGCGGACGAGCTTTGTATTTATGATCCGATTCTATTTAAAATGTGTATCTGGGGATTCTCGGGTTTAAAAATTATGATTCCGTCGTCAAAGTTGAGAAATTTCAGATGGCGGATCCAATATGGCGGATGAGTTTTGTAATTATGGTCCGATTCTATTCAAAATTTGTATCTAAGGGTTTTCAGGGTCGGAGATTATGATTCTTGTGTCAAAATTGAAAAATTTAATATGCCTGGTTCAATATGGCGGACGAGCTCCTCAATAATTAAAATCCGATTCTCTTTGAAATTGGTATCTGGGGATTTTCGGGGTTAGAAATCATGATTATCATCAGAATTGAGAAATTCAAGATGGCGGATCTAATATGACGGACGAGATTTGATTAATGACGAGAACCGATTCTATTCAAAATTTGTATCTGGATGTTTTCGGGGTCGGAGATTATGATTCTCTCGTCGACTTTGGGAAATTCGAGATGGCGGGTTCAATATGATTAACGAGTTTTCTAATTATGATCCGATTCTATTTGAAATTGTTATCTGAGGATTTTTGGGGTCGGAGATTATGATTGCTCCGTCATAATTGAAAATTCAAGATGGCGGAGTCTATATGTCGAACAAGCTCTGTAATAAATAGTGTTTTGAAAAGCTAATGGAGCATGCTTTTATTGAGAGACAAACTAAAATGAAGTAGAAAATGAATAGTAGTTTATAAAACTGAAGAGGTAGATTCCCGAACTGAAAAGAAGTTTTCTAAGTGACACGACATTTTTCGGAAACTGCTCGACAGAAAATGATTAACTAGGGTACCGTTAGAAAGAGAATTGAACGCCCTTCAAAATGATGTGCCACTTCACCCCCTTTCCCATTTGAGAATCTAAGGGTAACATCTACCCCTCCTAGGGGGTTGAACCAAAAGGGGTAAAACTAATCATTTCAAGTGTCTCCCTTGAAAATAAAATCGACCTGCTTTCTCGAATCATCGTATTATCCACTGCAAGGAAGATATTGAGAGTGGGAAGTTTTCTAAATGTCACCCTGTATAGCAAAACAACGTTTGGTCAGCTAGTATTCCAATATACAGGCTGATTCACGGTGGAAGGCATTTTAGACGTTTCTGGAGAACGTAACTTGGGATTATTCTGAAAATTTGGTGCCTTGGATATTTAGTTGTGCTCTATCGACCTAAAATATTCTCAGCACTTCGACGTTGCCGCTTATGTTGAATAGTAGCAACAACTTTGATTTTTCAATTGGGACACCCTGTATATTATTCCATTTCCACATTTTCCCTGAAGAGCTGATTTCATTGACCTATAACACTAAGGGTCAAGCAGTGACAATTACAGAGATATAGGGTGTGAAAAATCGAGATTTTTCAACATTAAGATTTTTTGTGTCGAAACTATTCAACTATTCAAAAGTATCAACACAAGAAATTCTTGAAGTTGAAAAATCTCGATTTTTCACACCCTATATCATTGTTATCATTCCCGATGGACCCCAAGTGTAATAGATCGATGAAATCAGCTCCTTAGGAAGAATCTGAAAATGGAATAATATATTTCTTTTATATTCTGATTCGTACGAAAAGGAATATCCTGTAATGTTCAGAAAACATCGTGAGAACCAAGGCAAATAAGGTATAGAAATTGGTGTTCTTCTTAAATTTCTGGAGGTTATATGCCTCGGGGAACACCTTCCTTGGCAGAGCCTCGCTGTTCGTTGGATGAACGAGTTTTTGGAAAGAGATTTTCTGCAGGTCTCCAAAGTGACCACAAAGGGGTGCGAAGCCTCAACTCGATGGGTTAATCTCGCGGAGACTGCCAAGGGAGGAACAATATTTCAGAAGAGCATCGTCCATGGAAATATCTATAAAATAGAGCCAGATCGCCAACTTTCCTACGGTGTTCCAGAGAAGTGAGTGAGTTTGTGAGCGAGGCATCACCCACGAGACGAATTGCCCTTTTTTGGACAGAATCCAACAGTTTCAGGGTATGTTCTGCTGCACTCCAAATATGGGAACAGTCTTCCAGGACAGGTAGAATCAGTGCCCTATGGCCCGAAACAGAGAACCAAGTTTTTGGGAAGCACTGTTGGCAATTGATCTCACGTGACATTCTCAAGGAAGGTTATCGCTGATAGTAATACCAAGCATCGAAATGGATGTCTTCAAAGGTATGGTTCCTCCTGACATGCTTATGTTGGGCACAATGAGATCGGCTTTTTTAGAGAAAAGGCATGCTTGTGTCCTGTTTGCATTGAAATCTACCAAGTTATTGGATCCCCATTCGAGAATTGTTGCCAAGTCCATATTGTATGTTGTCCCTCGTTCGTTTCTGATTTGCCTGGCTGGTATTGGAGCCCTGTAAGAGGAGGCGGTGTGGAGGGTACTATCATCCGCGAAGCTGTGTACTGGACATGAAGTTGCTTCCAACAAATCGTTGATATAGAGTAGAAATAGTTTTGGTGCTAGGACTGATCCTTGCGGAACACCAGCATTTATGATAAGAGAGTCAGATGAAACTCCGTCGACCACTACATGGAGAGATCTGTTTGAAAGTAAGCTAGCTAGCAGAGATCATAGCTGGGGAGGCAAGCCATAAGATGGAAGCTTGGCGAGGAGTCCGTGGTACCAGATTCGATCGAATGCCTTGGAGATATCAAGTGCCACGGCTAAGGTTTCACCATATTTTTCAATAGATTGCTGCCATATATGTGAGACGTAAGCGAGCAGGTCACCAGTTGATCTCTGATGATGACGGAAGCCATATTGCCTATCGTTGATAATACCTGAATGTTCCAGGTATTTCATGAGCTCATATAAGCGGCAACGTCGCAGTGTTGAGAATATTTCAGGTCTAATGTGCCATCCGGCGTGAATCAGCCTGTATAAAGGGAGTTACAATTTATAGGTGACGCATCCGCTCGCGACATCGACATTGCCATGAAGCTGGGGGCCGGCTACCCCATGGGGCCCATCGAGCTGTCGGACTACGTCGGCCACGACACCACCCTGTCCATCTTGGAGGGGTGGCACGAGAAGTTCCCCGACAACCCACTGTTCAACCCTTCCAGCGCCCTTAGGAAGCTGGTCGACGAAGGGAAACTGGGGATCAAATCGGGAGAAGGATTCTACAAATATAATAAGTAATGACGGATTTGTTGGCGTCTCTTCATGACTGATTTCATAGGAAGCTCATAGAAATTCCAACAATTTACTCCATAAAGAAATTCAGTTCCATTCTGTCTTTGTCTTCAGGCAATAATGGAAATTTTATGTTGGCAACTTTGGAAATGGGAAGAAATAGAGAAGAAGATCAATCTAACCTTTTTTATATAGAGGTTAAAGATCCGCCGTTGCCCCGGATCGAGAAGAGTCTATACCTTTGTTGTGCTATCTGTCTTACTAACTCCCATACCCAAAACCTAGAAACAAAGTCTATATCTGTGTGTGTAATAATTGTCAACCAAGTTTTACAGCTAAGAGGACTTTGAAACTGTGAATTTCCAAACCCAATAGGAAGTCTCAAATCAGTCAGGGTATGAGTTAATCTCAGACACACCTTAAGGGTGGCCCAAACAAATCAAAAGGAATGTGCTGGCCAATTGTCTTACAGAACAGAGGCCATTGAAAAGAAAGAAGAAGAAGAAGAGGTTAATATGATCTCCTTTTCTTTGCATTTCCAATGTTGCCAACATGGAATTTTCATTATTTTACGTTGTAATACTGAAGATAAGTACAGATGGGAAAACATTTTTTTTCTTTCTCAAAGCTATAATTGAGCTATTCAATAAATCATTCCAGAATTACGTCATTTGACAGGTTGCTGAGGGGCAAACATTGTATTTTGTCAAGATATGTCATATAAAACCAGAATAAGTGGGATCGTTTTTCTTGGAATCCGAGTTGGAACCAGAAAGAATTCCATATAATTGTGTTTGGTGAAACTGATATTATATTGTAGATGTGGCAGGGATGGCGAGGGCTATGCTCATCAAAAGTAACCTCTAACAGATAGTTTGTGTGCCCCTCAAGAAACCGTGTCAAAATCACGTGTTCTAGAATGATCAATATCTCAATCATGGTAACGTGGACAAGAGAGAATAGTTAATTGTTTAACAAGAGAGGAAAGTGTTACTTTCCCGACGATGAAGTTTACTGCCCGACGCATAGCAGAGTACCGTTTGTTTTGTTATTATGTAAGAATTTTGTTGGTGCAGGATATCAATATAAAATCATTTTTTGAACGTGATTTTCATATTTTTATACATAAAGTCTAGAGATTTATATTATGAATAAACCATATTTTTATAATCATATCAATGAACTTCAAATATATAATTTTTATTTTAAAAATGAAAGCACTGAGAGGATGATACAGTTGGAATTATTTTAAATTCATTGAAGGGATTTTCAGAGAACTGATTCATACAATTTTGTTCTGAATCCTAGCAATAAATGAAATTTCACAACATCAAATATGATTCAAGTTTATGGCTCAATTCTGATTGATAGTAATTATGAATTTCAGAATGTATTACTTCTAATAATTCTAGCTGGTATCACCCTTTCAAGAATTTATTGTCATATATATCCTTTTCCTCAATTTCTTAAAGGTACCTATATATAACTACAGGGTGATTGAATATGGATTTCATGCTTTCAACATTCAATATCTCGAGAACTAAATAAATTATTGAAAACTTTGCAAATGTACCACCCTATATATATCTTATTGCATATTTTAAAAGAGTGATTTTTGCTGATTTCAAAAACATGTGTTCAAACATTCCATCGAGTAATACTGGGTAAATCGCAGGAATAAAACTTGAGATTGGTTGATATTGAGCTGGAACCAGAAGATTTATCGAAAATATCGATTGTCAGTTGACCTGACAGCAAACTTGAATTCAATTATGTAATTTTACAACCACAATTTCAACCAATTTCAAGTTATATTCTGTCGATTCACCCAGTTTACTGGATGGAATGTGTAAAAATTATTCATCTTTGAAATCGGCAAATGTTACTCTTTTGAAGTATGCAATAAATATAGGGTGTTCCATTTGAAAAAAATAATATTGATCTCAATAGAAAAGTAATGTGTCGAGGGGATCATTTGAAAGATAACAAAATCTGATTCAATATTTTGTTTTGAAGTTTCCAATATCTAATTTAGTTTTCCAGATATATTGAGTGTGTAACAAATCTATTTCAATCTAAGGCAAGCATCAAGCAATGATAAAACGTCGCTCGTTTAAATTCGGCCATTCTGCAGAGTGTTCAAATAGCCTGCAATGATATATATTGCCCGCAATACAAATTGCAGTAATCAATGGGGAAGACCACTGATGGAAGAAATCCGTGCAAACCTCTTTCAATCGACGAATCATGATTTACGTTTGGTGTACAATCAATATTATGAATTGAAGTTAAAGGGAATCGAATCTATAGCGTTTTGAAATCAGCATATTTCATTCGCTATTTCCAAAAGCCAAATATGAAGGCGGAGCCGTGACGTATTAGTCCCGACTGTAACTATCTCTATCTGATACCTCGCTATTCTGCAGTGTTGCAGTGTGATTGGTCAGCTCAAGGACAATAGGCGTGTTGGGACTGATACGTCGCACCAGTCACACCAATCAATTGACACCATTTCAAATGGCGCAGGGATTGTGTGTTTTGAAATAGTCATATTCTCATCATTTATTTTTTTCATCGTCCTAACATGAATGGAATATTTCAAAATTAATTCACTGGTAGTTTTCCAGCATAGAGTTCAGTGTGATGTCGTTTCAAAAAATCAGTGGTCTCCCCCATTGCATGCAATAAAAAAATGAGAACTGTACAGCAGCTCTAATAGTAGCTGGGAATTGAAATAGATATTGGATTATATCCAACTTTCAGGAAACTTATTTTATTGTATACTTATCTTTGCAATAGTGATTTTTATTGATTGAAAAGCCAATAAAATGGCAGCAACAGTATGCTTGGTGTCTCCGAATATATTTAAATTTAGTTCTATAAGAGCTTTTACTGGGCGGTGTTGAGAACTTGGTATTAGTATACTTTTCCAGAGTCAACAGATTAAAAACGAATTTCAGAGGGCAAACATGAAATAACGAATGTGCGTATTTTCTAAAGTTGTATTTTTGCAGTCTGAAATATTGGCTGAGAAGATTCTCCAAAAATGCAAGGAAAGAAGATTGGGTGAAACAATACAGAATATGGAAAAAGATGCTAGAAAGAAAGATGTCTTATTAGTTATCAAACTAAACAATGTACTTATCGAAGTTATATTTAACAATAATAAAAGAGAGTGTCTTCATTTCTAAGTATTATTTTCTACGAATGTTTTTCTTATACTTGGAAGTTTTTCATTTTAGGGAATGTCTCATCTGCAAAATAACTCATTCCTTCAAATTCAAAACTGTACTGATTTTCATTTCACTCTTTAACATCCATGGGCGCCCGGCAGACATTTTTCAAGGTTGGGGGGCAGAACATGCCAGATTCAGATTCTGTTTTAGACATCATCGTAAGTTTATATAATATCATATACCTATATGGTAATGAAAAAAGTTGTAACTAAAGCACAATATTGAAAAATACTACCACGCGTATTTACAAAGACTGAACATACATTAACCGTCCACCTTCTTCCATGATGATTATTGTACCCTTGCATAATCAATCCTATGACTTGACGTGAGTCAATGTGGACATCAATCTCGTATACAGGGCGCAGACTATCATGCAGATGTGGTGCAACACATATGAACAAAAATGCGATGTCAGCAAACATTTCTTTCTTCAAGATAAAATCATGCACGATGAAATCCCAGTAAACCATTTTGTGTTTCTGAAACGTTCCTGAAACAAACTTTGTGAAATATGAAACATTTCACCTATATACTCCGAAACATTTATGAGACATTCTAGAGACCATAAATGATACCTAGGGTGTGTAATGTTTCATTGGAATGTTTCAACCCATATCTCCACGAAACATTCAATAAAGAGTATACATAAACATATCTGAGATATTTCACTATTGCATTCCCAGATAGCACGGGACGTCCCGAAGACGTCCATTTTAGGTCCATTTTTGGTCTGAACGTCCAGGACCTTTTATGGACGTTTTTAAGACGTCCATTATTGGACATACTCCGGACGTCCAGAAAAAGACGTCTTTAAAACGTCCAATTTACAGACTCTCACGGTGTATCAGTATAAATTGATATAAAGTAGGTCGGTATATATAAATTTTGAAATTAGAATTATTGAATTGAATATGGACATCAATAATGTCAAAAAATATATTATATATCAGCTGTATCAATATATTGAATTTCATTTTATTATTAATATTATGAATTTGAAATATTTATGATTTTAACTGATTTGTACCAACTTATATAGTTATGTTGAATCATATTCCTTCAATCACATAATACCTATACAGTTTGACCATTCTCAAACCCACACTGAAGTATTCATACAAGCCGCGCTTTTATAATAAGATTTGATTGAATCACTGAATATGTAAAGCAACCGTAGAACGCATGCGTGCTCAGCGTTGCCAGACTTACTATTTTAGCAGTAGATCTACTGTTTTTGTCTCCGTTCTACTGTTCAACTATTCAAGGCAATGGTCTGATTGGTCAAGTTTTGATATGACGTAACTACCCAATATGCAACAATGAAGAATTAATGGGACATCACAGTAAGAAGATGTATGATAAAAATATACTGCAACTATCATATTCAGTCTGATTAGTGAAAATTAGCTTTTATTTCCAATCTGGTTGCGGTTTTCACAAATTTTATTTTTTATTTCAATATTTTTTGTTATTCTTCGTTCGATTTTTGATAGGTATAGAGACCGAACATGATTTTTTTTTCGTTTATTATATAGGTGACTATGTTTTTTCATTTATGATAGCAATTGTGATGATTATCAAAATCTTCTGTTCAGTTTTGATGATCTACTGTTTTTTCCCCACCCATCTACTGCTCCGACAAATTTTCATCTGGCAACACTGTGCGTGTTACGTGTGAAACTGTGAAACGAAAACGTAGGAAGATGGCGTCCGTCAGTTGACCACTGCCGAGTGCCGATTAAACTGTGATTCAGGTCCAAGGACATTCTGAACTTTTCGGGTTATTAGACTGTAAAAGCAGTGAATAAGTGAAATCTTTGCGGATATCATCTATCAACTGGTGAACTTCGATCTCGAGTTCCATCG